TGAGATGTTCCACATAGAAAACAAAGAGCTGAAAAGATAAGATTTATTTTTAGTTGCCTATTTGAGTCATGTTGGATTTGTTTTAACTAGTTTTTAAGAGTTGGTTTCAATTATGAATATGAGTTGCTGACAATGAGACAAATGGCAAAATCTAGATGGAATTCTAACTCTGTCAACTACTGAGATGTCCCACTTCTTCAAGAAACTGCCCATAATTTGAGTAACTACATGGGGTGGGGAGTTGTAGGTGGGGAAGAGGAAAACAAAAGGAAAAATTTTGATCATTCAACACACAGCCAACCTTACACACAACTCGACAAATTTTCAGACTTCTAGTTTCTCAGCAATTGCTCACTTTAGCTTACAGATTTCAGTTTCAACACAATTCTCAATAGATTTAGGTTGTTTTTCATCATTCCAGTAGCCAAATTAGTTCATGTATTCGTTTCAAAAATTTCGTTTCATGTAATTAACATCAAGTTTTTGAATTTCTACAAGATATTATTATTTTTCTAACTGGTATTAGTTCAATGTGTATGATAAGTAGCGTTTCATCAAATGATTACTTATATGACATTTCACTTCTTCTCAATTTCTAGCATGTTAGTTTAGTCCTTGTTCATATTTGTTTAAGTGTTATTTAGGGTTAAATCTTTAATTTTATAGTAGTTTAATTTTCAGATCTATCTATAAATAACAGTTTAATCTAACAATGAACATGTTTAATATATTTTGGGTACATCTTTTATTTGCAAGCATGCCACTTAGTTCATTTAAAATCTATTAACTTTGATTCACAGTAGTATTTAAGTCTTTAGAGCTATCTAAGGCAAATTTAGTAACCATTCTACAAGAAGGCATCTCTCTCTCTTGCAAATCATCTATAGGCACAGATTTTAATTTTAAACAAGCGTTCTTCTCACCATCTGCAAAGAGGTTGACCGTGAGGAAAAAGAGAATTGTTGAAAAAATCTTTTTTTCTTACTTTTAACCAAAGTGGCAAATTCAAATTCAAATTTCACATATGCAATGTCTCTTGAGGATTTTTGAGGAAACAGTAGTCAAGACCAATAAAACCTCTCTTTTTTTATTTGATTAATGATTACTAAAATTTAAGACCCGAAACTTCAATTAATTGATAGTTTGGTTTCAATTACAATTAAAATTGAACTGTACCCACCTCTAATTTTATTACCTACTTTAGTAAAGTTATCCATGTAGTTTTGGCGTTAAAAACAAAATTAATTTTTTATATTTTTCTATAAAAATAATAAAAAATAAATATATCTTTAACCCTATCTTTAAAGTACTTGTTAAAAATGTTGTTCAACATGGTGGCATTTTAAATTAATTTACACGCAATCATACATACATGTTTAGATTGAAGAATTCCTCAATTGATAGACTTGCCACACGGGTTGAGTTGAGTCAATCCATGTTTCACATTAAATAAGTTTGGTCAAATAATATTATCCATGATCCGTTTTAAATGGGTGAATTAGATCAAATTCTTAGGTTGGAGACTTCAGACCCAGACAAACTTTTACTAATAATTTACATAATTTATTTAACTAATAACCCATTGAAGTTGGTTTAAATAAGAAGTGTTATATAAATTGAGAATGTAAGTTTAAATTCTTTTACTATTATTTGAGTGTAAAGAATTTTAATAAATCATGCTTGCCACTCTTGAAAGTGGAATTTAACTTATATATGTAATTAAATAAGATAACTTGTAATTATCTATGAAATTAAACAGACCAATCTTCCAAATAAACATGTTAACAAAAAAAAAAAAAAAAAGACTTGCAAGTTGGTCTTCTTTTCAAACTACCAATCCCAACGTTTAACCATTTGGGCGAATTGCACCTCCTTGCCTATATATAGTTTGGGGTGGATCTAATTATTAAGCATATATTTATTCTATTTTTTATTAATTAATATAAAAAATAAAAATATTAATTTTAACAATAATATAATTATGTTTGTTTAAGTAAAAATAATATTAAAATTAATATTAATTTTTATATTTTTATATAAAATAATATAATAAATACATTTTTAATGTGTATCATGAGTGTATGACAGAAAAACCCAATTATTGACCCCAAAAGTGTCTGGCACTCAAGCATATTCTGGGAGGAAAACACGGTGTCAAAAATTCACAGCCTAAAGTCTAAATAATCCAGTGCGTCTATGGTCCTACTTAACCACAAAGTCCATTCTAATTTTGTGGTTTTCTTACCCATTGACGACGGGCGAAGAAGTTTCCTAAGAAATTGCTATCCCTAGAAACAGTTTCACATGTGAAGACAACTTTTTAACATTGGAATTTACAGTACACTACTTTATTTTTACAGTTTAGTATGTAAATTCAAGTTGAGACACTGTAAAAGTTAAATAAAAAAATTAAAATTTTTTAATTTTTGTTTTTAATATAAATTAAAGGTATAATTAATATATTTTTGTAATTAATTTTTATTAAAATTGTAAATATTGATTTAAATTTAATTAATTAATCAATTA